ATTTCAGGTATTTTAACTGAAATACACCAATCTGGAATATTAGTACCTGCTCTTCAATCTGAGTGGTTAATAATGCACGTAAGTATGATGATATTGGGCTATGCAGCCCTTTTATGTGGATCGTTATTATCAGTAGCACTTCTAGTGATTACATTTCGAAAAAACAGAAAGCTTTTTTATAAGAGCAATGGTTTTTTAAACGAGTCATTTTTCTTGGGTGAAAATGTTGTCGAAAATACTTCGTTTTTTTGTGCTCAAAATTATTACAGGTCCCAATTGATTCAACAATTGGATTATTGGAGTTATCGGGTTATTAGTTTAGGATTTACTTTTTTAACCATAGGAATCCTTTCGGGAGCGGTATGGGCTAATGAAGCGTGGGGGTCCTATTGGAATTGGGATCCAAAAGAAACTTGGGCATTTATTACTTGGATCGTATTTGCAATTTATTTACATACTCGAACAAATAGAAATTTGCGGGGTCCAAATTCTGCAATTGTAGCGTCTATAGGTTTTCTTATAATTTGGATATGCTATTTTGGGGTCAATCTATTAGGAATAGGGTTACATAGTTATGGTTCTTTTCCATCAACATTTAATTGAATTCAAGACAAGTTATTACAAATACAAGAGCGGGCGACGCATTGTATGAACCAGCATGCGGACCGTGTGAATCAAATATTGTATTGATGATTCACACGGTTTTCTACCATATGTAGTTCAATTTCATTGTTTTTACTTAATTCTTAAGTTAAGAGAAGAAAAAAAGTCTTCTTTTTTTCATTGTCCAAGAATGTTTTTAAAAACAAACATAGGTTTTTTTATTTCAGTCATCCAATTATCTATAAAAAAAATTAGATAGAATAACTTCGACCTTGTCAACTGCTAATGAAAGAACGAAATCGGGGTATATACCAATACCTATTACGGGTAAAAAGATGGAGATCGAAAGAAATAACTCTCGCGGTCCAGAATCAAAAAAAGAATCCTTCGGGGCGTTAAATAGCTTGTATCCATAGAACATCTGGCGTGGCATAGATAATGAATAAATAGGAGTTAATATAATTCCAATTGCCATTACAAAAGTAATTAGTAGTTTTGGAATTAAAAGATATTTTTGGCCGGTAATTATTCCAAAAAATACTATCAATTCGGCAACAAAACCACTCATACCTGGTAATGCAAGGGAAGCCATCGAAAAGCTACTGAACATCGTGAACATTTTTGGCATTGGAATAGCTATTCCGCCCATTTCGTCAAGATAAACAAGGCGGATTCTATCATAAGTCGTTCCCGCCAAGAAAAAAAGTGCAGCACCAATAAATCCATGAGAGATTATTTGTAAAAGGGCTCCATTAAGTCCCGTATCGGTTAGAGAACTAATTCCTATAATTATGAAACCCATATGGGAGACAGAGGAATAGGCTATTCTTTTTTTTAAATTCCGTTGGCCAAGAGATGTTGAAGCTGCATAGATTATTTGTATTGTACCTATTATCATCAACCAAGGAGAAAATATAGAATGGGCATGAGGTAATAATTCCATATTGATTCGAATTAATCCATACGCTCCCATTTTTAATAAGATTCCGGCTAGAAGCATACAAGTACTGTAATGTGCTTCTCCATGGGTATCTGGTAACCATGTGTGTAGGGGGATAATGGGCGATTTGACAGCAAAAGCAATAAAAAATCCAATATAGAAGATTATTTCTAAAACCACAGGATATGACTGATTAACTGATGTTTCAAAATTTAATGTTGGTTCATTAGAACCATATAAAGCAACACCCAAAACTCCCATTAAGAGAAAAACAGAACCCCCCGCCGTGTACAAAATAAATTTTGTAGCTGAGTACAGACGTTTCTTTCCTCCCCACATGGCTAGAAGTAGATAAACAGGAATTAATTCTAACTCCCACATGATGAAAAAAAGTAAAAGGTCCCGAGACGAAAATGATCCAATTTGACCACTGTACATTGCTAACATGAGAAAATGGAATAATCTAGAATCTCGAGTAACTGGCCAAGCCGCTAAAGTCGCTAAAGTAGTGATAAATCCTGTTAATAAAATGGGTCCTATAGAAAGTCCATCTATTCCTAATCTCCAATGGAAATCAAAAAAATCGATCCATTTATAATCCTCTACTAGTTGGATTAATGGATCATCCGATTGGAAATGATAACAAAATGCATAAGTTGTTAGAAGGAGTTCTAAAATACATATACATATCGTATACCACCTAATTACCCTATTTCCTTTATGGGGAAGAAAGAAAATTAAAGAACCCGCAAATATCGGAAAAACGACAATTATTGTTAACCAAGGAAAATAATTCGTAGTAAAGACAAGATACACTTGGACCAAAAAAACCCGTGCTCAAAATATTTTTATTTTCGAGCACAGGTTTGTCGGTAAAAAAATTAAATGGATTCAAGTAGAGTTTTCTCGAACGTATCAATAAGCTAGACCCATACTGCGAGTTGTTTCATGCCATAAATAAACTCGGACACTCAAGAAATCTGTTGGACAGGCGGATTCACATCTCTTACAACCAACACAGTCCTCTGTTCGTGGAGCAGAAGCAATTTGTTTAGCCTTACAACCGTCCCAAGGTATCATTTCTAATACATCAGTGGGGCAGGCTCGGACACATTGAGTACATCCTATACACGTATCATAAATCTTTACTGAATGTGACATTGGGTCTATACGTTTTTGAATGTTATAAATTTTCGATCTAGTAAACTTAGAAACGAATCATATATTTAGATACCAGATGAATCAATGAGTTATCATGATTTTCTAATCAACCCCTTTCTGGATTGGTTTATGAGATATGAGAGAGGCCAAAATACTTTGATTTCTTATGTTTTGCAAACAAGATCATACTTTACGTAGTAAACATGCTAATTAAAATTGATTTCTCAATATTAGAATCTAGATGATTAATATTAATTATTCAACAAATTTGATTGGTTGATACGAGTTGATTTTCTGTTACGGTAAATTGATGAAACAATAGCCAGGCCAATGGCTGCTTCAGCGGCTGCAATAGCTATAACAAAAATTGAGAAAATGTCTCCCTTTAATTGACGATTATCAAAAAAATCAGAAAATGTTACAAAATTTATATTAACCGCATTCAATATAAGTTCAAGACACATAAGGGCTCTAACCATATTTCGACTTGTGATCAATCCATAGATACCGATAGAAAATAAATAGGCACTCAAAACAAGTACATGTTCGAGAATCATTAAACAACTCCTTATCAATCTCGACTCCTTTCAATATGAACAACAATTCAACTAATTTCATTGACTAGTATATAACAAGTATGGAACAAAGAAATAGATTGGTACTAGATTGACCTAAAGTCTTTCTATTTATCCAGCTAGAATTCAAATAGAATTCAAGGAAAATTAATGTGATAAGACAGAACAAAATTTTATTTGAATTCCAAGTTTTAATAGAAATTTTTTATTGACGAGCTACAGCAATTGCACCTATTAAAGCAACTAAAAGGATTATGGAAATAAGTTCAAATGGGAGAAAAAAATCTGTTGATAAATGAATTCCAATTTGTTGACTATTACTTAGAAAATCTTGCTCTATAATCTGGTTTGATCTTGTAGTCCAAATAATCCCGTACCATGACGTATCTGAAATAGTAGTAATTAGTGAAATAAAAAGACTTATACAAACCATCGAAGTAATTCCATCTCCTACGGTCCAAAGATGAAAATCCTTGTAATATTCTGAGCCATTCATGAACATCACAGCAAAAATGATTAAAACATTTATAGCTCCTACGTAAATAAGTAGCTGCGCAGCAGCTACAAAATAGGAGTTAGATAGAATATAGAATAACGATGTACAAATAAGAACCAATCCCAAGGAAAAGGCCGAATAAATTGGATTGGGAAGTAATACCACTCCTAGACCCCCTAATATAAGACCCGATCCTAGAAAGACTAAAAGAAAATCATGTATTGGTTCAGATAAATCCATTTTTTATAAAAAATCAAAAACGAAGAATTTCATGACTTTATTGACCTGACCAGGAAAAAAGAAGTTTTTCTATTTTTTATGATACTTTGAAATTGTTAATTGAATGAAAGTCTAATGGGTATGAATTGACGTAGATGCTTTTATTTTATTGGACCACTATCCATTCTTTATTCGTCGAAAGAGTAGTTTAAACCTATCTATTTTTGATATCATTTATCTACTTTGAAACCATTACTATTATAATATATAATATTGAAATCGGTTTTGTTTTCAATCTAAATTAAGCTAGGAGTCTCATTAAGCAACCACTAGTTTGAATTGCCCAAGCAAAAATCTCATTGTTTTAGATCCGAACTAAGCCTTCGTAATTCGTAATTTTTTTGAATCGAATTAAGGGTTTATTCATTGTTTATTTGAGGTAAATTCGAAATTGTTCGAATTGTGTAATCATCAATTACTGACATTGGTAAGCGACCCAAAGCGATTTGATTATAATTCAATTCGTGACGATCATAAGTAGAAAGTTCATATTCTTCGGTCATTGATAAACAATTTGTTGGGCAATACTCAACGCAATTACCACAAAATATACAGATTCCAAAATCAATACTGTAATTAAGCAATCGTTTCTTTCGAATATCAGTTTCCAACTTCCAATCAACAACGGGTAAATCTATAGGACATACACGCACACATACTTCACAAGCAATGCATTTATCAAATTCAAAGTGTATTCGGCCTCGGAAACGTTCCGATGTGATCAATTTTTCGTAGGGGTATTGAATAGTTACAGGTAAACGATTTGCGTGGGACAGGGTAATCATGAAACCTTGGCCGATGTATCTGGCGGCTCGTATTGTTTGTTGACCATAATTTATGAATTCAGTTATCATAGGGAGCATATGTTGAATATCTATAAAAAAGATTTTATGCTTGTTTCTTTCTCTTGTTTGAGACAAGTCGTGAATCTAGGATATTGTGGTCTTTTACAGTGAAAGAAGTTGGGACGAGGTTGTCAATAATAGATTACCTAGAGAAATCGGTAAAAGAAATTTCCACCCAAGATTTAATAGTTGGTCCATTCTCAGCCTCGGTAAAGTCCATCTTGTTGCAATAGGAATGAACAAAAACAAATAAGTTTTGGCTAATGTGATAAAGATACCAATTAGTGTTCCAAAGACTTTACCCCCTTTATTTATGCCAAATAGCTCAGGAACAAATATGTACGGAATAGAAAGATTCCAACCTCCCAAGTAAAGAACTGTTACAAATAATGAAGAAACTAGTAGATTCAGATATGAAGCAATGTAAAATAAACCAAATTTGATACCTGAATATTCGGTTTGATACCCTGCTACTAATTCTTCTTCTGCTTCTGGTAAATCAAAAGGTAATCTTTCACACTCGGCGAGAGAAGAAATTAGAAAAACGATAAACCCGATGGGTTGACGCCACAAATTCCACCCCCAAAAACCATATTTTGACTGCGCTTCCACTATATCAACTGTACTTGAACTGTTAGATAATCATAGTCGATGATAACATCACTGTGCCCATCGCTATTCCAGAACCGTACGTGAGATTTTCACCTCATACGGCTCCTCAGAGGTCACAAATAAACCTAAGGGCCCTTTCCTATTCTTTATCTTGATATGTTTGTCAGATAGAGTCAAAATCTATCCTAAGGTCCCAAATTAGACCAATGGAATTCTGTCTGCTATATTTAAAACTAATAAATAAGTGCTTCTGAATTTATCTCATCTTTTAAGAATTTTAATTTTTCTTTGTTGATTAATAACCTTATCATTAAATAAAAAAATGTGCTTTATAGCAATATCACATATACATTTCAACCTCGAATTTTCAATTACGAAAAAAATTAGAGAGTACATTAGTTCATGAATCATGACAAAAATTTTATCTCTCTAAATAGAAATCAAAATTGAATTATAGGAAAGAAAGAATAAAAACAAAAAAAGAAAAAAGGAAGAAAAAAAAAAGACATCCCTCCTTTTTGCTTTTGCAATTAGATTCTTTTCTTTCTATTTCGATTTTTTTATTTCATTCCTATTCTCCTTTCTCAGAAAAAGGGCCTTTAACCAAAGTAAAAGATTACTTCGTTCTTGATAGTTAGTTACTTACTCAGTGGATAGGAACATACTCTGGATCAGAATCATGGGGAGTACTTCTTGATCATTTCTACGAATGTAAAGCCCCAATTTGAATTCCTTTTATGTACAGAAATATCCTCTTGGATAACTTACATAATCTCAATTACTAATCCTTTGTGTATCTTGGTCTTCCTAACCATCCACTCATTTTTTGTTTCAAAAACCTCCCGTTGTGGAAATCCATCTATGGTAATAGACAGTAAAAAATCCATAGAGTTGGTCTTTTGAACCCGCTTCAAGCTATCATGACAATTCATGAATCTTGGGGTAAACAATCTCTCTTGCTTATGTTTACTTTTTTCACCATTTGATTCTTGTACATAGGAAATGAGACTCAACTTTTTTACTGCAAATTTAGAAGCCGTTTTCTTTCACTCATATAACTATCTGGTTTAGTTTATCAACTCAAATGCTGAAGAAAAATAAAAATATATATAGTCAATCAAATCTTTTTATCCTTGTTTCTAGAAAGAAAAGAATTTTGATAAATTTTAGGTCTCACCGAATCACACGTAGAGATATTGATAACACACATAGAGCTAATGGTATTTCATAACTAATTGATTGAGCAGCTGCCCGTAGACCACCTAAAAAGGAATATTTATTATTTGATCCATACCCCGACATAAGAAGTCCAACGGGAGCAATACTTGAAATGGCAATCCAAAAAAAAACACCAATACTAAGATCGGCTAGAACAAGGTGATCACCAAAAGGAATTACTGAATAACTTAGAAAGATAGATATTACTGCTATGGATGGCCCAATACTGAATAAACGAGTATCTCCTGTAGATGGAATAAGGTTCTCTTTCAAAAGTAGTTTTGTCCCATCTGCTAGAGCTTGAAGAATTCCTAAAGGGCCGGCATATTCAGGCCCGATACGTTGTTGTATTCCTGCAGATATTTCTCTTTCTAACCAAACAATTACTAGTACACCTATTGTGATTCCTAATACAAGAGTCACAATAGGGACAAGCATCCATATGATCCCATAGACTTCTTTTAAGGATTCCAATTTGGAAAAAGAATTGATAGTCTCTATTTCTGTTGTATCAATTATCATTTCAACGATCAACTTCTCCCATAATGATATCTATGCTACCTAGTATTGTCATAATATCAGCCAATTTCATTCTTTTAACTAACTGAGGAAGAATTTGCAAATTGATAAAACCTGGTGGGCGAATTTTCCATCTCCAAGGAAAAACGCTCTGGTCTCCTATCAGAAAAATCCCCAATTCTCCTTTTGGGGCTTCAACTCTCACATAAAGTTCTTGTTTCGACAATTCAAAAGTTGGAGAAGGCTTTTTACTAATAAACCGATATTCAAAATCATTCCATTCAGGATCTTTTAATCTGTCAAAACGTCGCATTTCTAAATTTTCGTAAGGCCCTCCTGGAATTCCTTCTAGAGCCTGTTGAATAATCTTTATGGATTCTGTCATTTCACCGATTCGTACTAAATAACGAGCTAATGAATCCCCTTCTCGTTGCCATTGAACCTGCCAATCAAATTCGTCGTAAGACTCATAATGATCAACTTTACGAAGATCCCATTCTATTCCGGAAGCTCGTAGCATTGGTCCCGATAAACCCCAATTTACTGCCTCGTCTCTCCCAATAATGCCTACGCCTTCAACTCGTTCTAAAAAAATAGGATTCCGGGTAATAAGTTTTTGATACTCAGCAACCCCTGTTAAAAAATAATCGCAAAAATCCAAACATTTATCTATCCAGCCATAGGGTAGATCGGCAGCCACTCCTCCAATACGAAAATAATTATGCATCATTCGCATACCGGTGGCAGCTTCGAATAGGTCATATATCAATTCTCTTTCTCGAAAAATATAGAAGAAAGGGGTCTGTGCACCAATATCCGCCATAAAAGGACCGAGCCATAACAAATGAGAAGCTATCCGACTCAACTCCAACATAATGACTCTGATATAGCTAGCCCTTTTAGGTACTTGAATATTGCCTAATTGTTCGGGTCCATTTATGGTTATTGCTTCTGTGAACATAGTAGCTAAATAATCCCAACGTGTTACATAAGGCAAATATTGTATAATTGTTCGGTTTTCCGCAATTTTCTCCATCCCTCTATGTAAATAACCCAATATTGGTTCGCAGTCGACAACATCTTCACCATCTAGAGTAACGATGAGTCGAAGAACACCGTGCATTGATGGGTGCTGAGGCCCCATATTGACTATCATGAGGTCTTTTCTTGTAGTTGGTGCAGTCATAAGTTTTTTAACGATTCATTCTTCCATGAATTACTGAAAGTGAAAAGAAGTTCATCAAAATTTAATCGAAACATATAAGTGAAAATGAAATAACTCTTCAAATTAATCAAATTAACGAGTTTTTGTCTCTCGAATGTCCAACTGATTAATTAATTCTTTATAACGTACTCTATTTTTTTTTGCCAAATAAGCTAGCAGTCGTTGACGTTTTCCCAAAATTTTCTTCAAACCTCTCTGAGATAAATAGTCTTTTTTGTGCAATTCTAAATGTGAAGTAAGTCTCCGTATCTTATTGGTGAAATTGAATACTTGAAATTCAACAGATCCTTTCTTTTCTTTTTGAAAAATAACTGAAATGACAGAATTTTTTACCATAAATGAATTTCCCCTTTCTTTATTTTACAGATATGGATTTTTTAGAATTTTATTGATCAGTAATAATAATGCCAGTAATTTGAACGTGGTATATAGACTTAATTTCTTTATGAACCTCTAATTTTAGCAATTCCAATAAATTAATCAAATTTCAAATTTGATTCAGATAGGAATCCAAAAAGGTGGTAGGTACGTTTTTTTCAGTCACAAAAGCGAATAATTGAAACCTAAAATCCTAAAATGAAGAAGATTCTGTTGATTCATTTCTAGATCTAATCAATACCTTATTTTATTGATTTAGTATTGTCTACTCGAATTAGATTCGAATGAGATGTAAAACAAGGCATGTTTGCATTTGTTTGCTTTCAGATACTCTATACGAGACAGGGTATATAGTACTATCAATTAATTTTCAATCGTGGATACATATGTATCCTTAAGATACTGAAACGGCTACCATTATTGGTATCAAACCAATAACGATTCATACAAGCTAAATCTTCTAATCGATAATTAGGCCAAAGAAAGAACTTAAATTTAATTAATTTATTTTTATCTTTATAAAGGGGTTTCCGTTCACCCAAAAATTGACTCCAGTTTTTTACATTGGTTTCGTTGCAAAATACTGAATTTCTATCGACGACATTCCAATTCAAAGAATTAAAAAAACTTCGAATTCTCAATTCTCTACGACGTCTAGACCATAAAATATTTTCAGGAACAAGCAAATCAAAATGAGTTTTTTCTGTATTTATTCTTTGAGTTTGAGGTTGCAGAATGAATTCGTCAAAATTCTTTTTATCAACATATCTTTGTTCTCGGTATCTTTGATTAGTTTGGTGTTTACTTTTATGAACCAATGAAATACCTATGGTTTGATACATAATAAATTGTCCATTATGTTTTACAGACAACCGAATAGGTTCGATAATCAATACCCCCTTCTTCATCAAGTCTGTAAGAGGTAAATTTGCCTGAATCAGCATTATATCCAAACTCATTTCTCTCCTTTGAATTGACGATATAGTAATTTTGGTTGGATTTATCAGTCGAAGCAGGAGACAATATACCTTGATATTTTCGAGCATTCTTTTATTCAAAGCATCGTTCCATCTCAATTGAAAAAGCAAATAACGTTTCAAGAACAAATCTAGTTCTGCTTCCGTGTTGCTTTTGTATTGTTTTTTATTTTGACCCTTTTTTGTGTCTGATTCCACGTAATCTTTTTCAAGATCGGTTTGATGTTTTGAAAAAACAGGGCTCAGATTTCCTTTGTTTTCTATATCTGATCCACGCTCTCTTTGACTTGGGGGTTCTTTTGTTTCTTGACTTCGATTCTTTATTTTTTTATTTGATGGTAGAAAAAAGTTTTGTTTTTGGTTTTTATTTTGAATAACATTTTCATTTGTATTCAAATTAAAAAGAAGGAATTTGCTTGGTATAATCCACGGTTTTATTTTATAGACATTATAAAGTAGTACAAATTCTGGGAAGAACCAAAATTCCAGATTCAATATGGGACGATTAAATATTTTTTCATTCATTCCATCCAATCAAAAAAGACTTTTTTCGAATTTTTTTGAGTTTTTTCT